GATTTTCAGTGTTATGTTTAATTAAACAAAATTTTATGAGGATTTTTAGAAAAAACTATTCTGAATGATACTACAATAGAGGATGTATAAAATTATGCATTTGATACAACCTACAGAACTACACAACATAAAGAATGACTCCTAATGTAAACTAATGACATTAGTTAACAACAATGTATCAATATTGGGTCATCAATTAAGGGAGGACACGAGTGCAAGATGTTAACAATAAGGAAACTGAGGGCTGGGGAATAATGGAACTCTTTACATCCTGCTCAACTTTTCCATAAAATTAAATCTGGTAAAAATAAAACCTATGAATTTTTTAAAATGGGTTCTTCCCCGCACGCACGGCAGGTTCGGCTGAATTCGGTTTCTCGGTAAAACCCGCTGCCGCGGTTTCAGGAAAGGGAAGAGGACCCTTTGTCTTCTTTCTCTGTCTTGTGGTGAAGGCTGCTCTGTGAGGGAAAACCAGGCGTTTCGTGTGCCTGCCTTTGTATTCCTTTTTTTTAAACGAATGGACTGATCTTGTCCCCTTGGGTCAGCCCCGTCTCACCGCAGCATGAGCGAGACCCCCGCCGGGGCCCAACGCGGAGGGAAGCCCACGGCCCCTCGTGTCCCCGCAGGCCACGGCGCCCCGAGCCTGCCCCCTCCGGTCCTGCTCCGTGTGACTCAGTGTCCCAATGTGGCCTCATGCCACATCATGCCACACCCCGGGACTCCTCTGGGCTGTTCTGCCGCCATCCCCCCGGCTTGTCATTGTGGACGGCGCTTCATCCGCGCGGCCTGTGGCCCTTCCTTCGTCGCGTCCTCGGCGGCACGGTGGCCTGCAGTGGACATTTAAACGCACAGATCGCCCCCTTTAAATTGTGTCCTTAACGTTAGTGCATTTACAACAAGAAGCGCAAGCACACTGCCCCAATTTAAGTGTCACGCACAGCTGGGCGAGGTGGACGGTGCCGCGAAGCTAGGCCGCGTCGGCGGGGACGTGGCTGTGAGTTGACAGCCATGAGCTCTGCTCGCGCCTCTTTTGTACCTAAACAGGAGGCCCCGCTTCCCCCATCGCAGAGATGCCTGCCCCTCCCCCACCAGGAAGAGCAGGTGACTCGACCTCCGGTGGGGGGAGGGCGGCGGGGGGGCTCATCAGGGGAGAAGGACCAACTCCATCTGCAGATGAACCTCACTCCATGGCCTGGGCCCTTGTCCCCCAGATCTCCCCCCCACACACATACTTTCCCAGTTTCCCCCAAAGCCCCTGGAGCCCCCCA